AGGACACAAAAGGACATCGCGGCCGCTTCCTACTCCGCTTCCTCCAGCTGACAGCGGGGGCGGGGCCGGCCGTGCGCATGCAAAGCAGGGGGCGGGGCCCGGCGCCCTATGCTAATCAGACAAGTGGAGCGGGCTGCGCCTGAGTGCCCGGCCAAGTAGAGAAGGAGCAGGCGAAGCAGCGGGCGGGCCTTCACGAGGGTCCCGCCCCGCCGCCGCGAACCACAGCGGCACTGGCATAGGCGGCCGCCGAAGGGGGCGTGATTAGAGGAGACGCGAAGAGGCTCGGGGAGGGGGTGGGGCCGGGAACGCTTTTACGTAACGAAGGAGGCGGGGCGCGCTGTGCGCAGGAAGAGTGGGCGAGTCGCTCCGGGAGACCACAGACATGTAAATGAGAGGGCCTGACTAGCGGAGAGGCTGATAATCTGCATATGCATGAGGGGCGGAGCCTATCATGCCCTAGCTGGAGGGCAAGCGCTGCCACTTTCCGTTTTTCCCTTTCCCCCAAGATAACACCTTCTGGGATCTTGGACCGCAGACCCAATATCCCCACAAAGCTGCGGAACCCGGGATGGGAGAAGCAGACCTACAACATGCAAGAAGTCCTGGATTTCGAGTCCCGGGAAGACGGAGCTGATATGGCCCCAACGGAGAACGCTCAAGGTCACTGCGGTGACCGAGTGAAGGTCATGGGGAAAGGCGGGGCCACGTGCGCGTCCGCCTCACGCAAACAGCCACGCACTGACTCACAGACCTTGCACAGACTCTTTTATTTCTCTAAGGTTCAAATTCCACGTGGATAGGGTCGGGCTTGGGGCTTGGGTCTCCGGGCAGGACAGGGAGGGGGCTGAAGTTGGGCAGTCACTCGAGCCTGACGCGGTGCTCTCAGTGCACCGAGACGTGTTGCCTCTTGTTCCGGCGCCTCTTGAGACCCTCGATATATCGCTGCAGCTGCTTGGTCAGGAAGTGATCCTTGCCGATCCCTGACCGGTAGCCTGGAGGATAGAGCTCCACTCAGGGCGGTTAGCAGAGAGAGGCATTGCCTCCCCAGTAGCAGATGCCACATGTGTGATTTGAGGATCTGCGGGTGACTTGGGTTGACAGGAGCTCTGAGCGTTCGGGTCTGTGTTAGTTTGGGGAACTTCGAATCTCCAAGATACTGGGCCCTGCCCGCGTTGTTTCAGGTCATAGACTGTCCTCCGAATAAATGGGGGATGTGGAGCAGGATAGGATATTAAGGTAGAGGATGAACGAGGGCACAGATTAAAGGAAATGTTGCAGGCCTCATCTAGGGCAGTGGTAGCAGACAGCTTTTTGGACACCTCTTGGACCACTCACCATTAGCCATTAGGTAGCCCCCACCCCTCATATCATAAGCAGGGCAAATCAGTGAAAGTGTACCCAAATAATCCACTGTCCAAAGCTCTTCACATTACCCAGGGAAAGGGCCAAGGCCACACAAAGACTGTCATCCCCATTGGGCAGATAGAGAAACAGCCTTAGAAAAACCATATCGGCTAGAGGGGGGCTGCACTTAAGCTGGAGCCCAGGCCCCTCACATTTACCCCATGATCTCCCCTCACTGGGTCTCCTTTTCCTGTCCCCCCACTTTTTACTTTTTGTGGGGCTCCTATAATATTTGTGAGTGGTAAGGGAATCTGACAAGGCAGACACATCCTGAAATCCCACTCCCAGGGGCTCAAACCCTGCCAAATCCCCCAAGGTCTCATGGGAGTTGGGGGAGGGACTCACTCTGGAGGGCTTTGGTGAGGATTTCCAGAGCTTCACTCTCCATGAGTTCTATCAGGGGCAGTGGCAGCTGAAGAGGCAGCAAGAGGCTCAGATGTCCAAGAGACCCCAGCTCTGCCCCACCGGCTGCCTCCAGCCCAAGACCCCCAACCAATCTACCTGCCCCTCCACCCTACAAACCACCCCATCCCCTTCATTCAGGAACCTCCAACTTGCCCATTTCCCACCCCACTAAAACCCCCGGTCTTCCTAGGTGCCTCCAACCCTGTTCTGCTGCTCCACCCAGTAGGCTCGATGGGGTGTGTGCTTCAAGATCCTGGGTGATGATATCGAGGACGATACTTCTGGGAGAAGAGAAAAGAGATTAGTCATCTGCAGACTGCTGGGTCTTTTCTGGAACAGAGATGTATAGGGTGGCATTGGGCAGGGAGAGTGACCTTCAGAGAACAGTTCCAGGTGCCACTTTAGTGGGAAACAGTATGGAACAGTGATTTACAGCCCTAGGCTTTATTGTCTTACCCACCAAGGTTCTAGTTCTGACTGCCCCATTGTGTGAGACTTAGGGCCAGTGACTGAAGCTTTCTGACTCTCAGGTTCTTCCTCTGTAAAATGGGGTAATAAGAATAACCCCTGGCCAGGTAGCTCAGTTGGTTAGAGCATCCTCCCAATACACCAAGGTTGCAGGTTCAATCCCCAGTCAGGGCACACAGGGCACATTCAAGAATCAGTGTCAATGTTTCTCTCCCTCTCTCTCATCAATAATTTTTTAAAAAGAGAGAGAAAGAATAACCTCTTATGAAGGTTGTGAAGTTTAAAGGTGATCATACAAGGAAAGCCCAGTGCCTGGGCACACAGTAAACGCTCAATAAGTGGCAGTTATTAGATCAGTTCCAATTATCTGATGAAGGGCTGGGGGAGGGTGAGAAGGGAGAGGAAAGTCCCAAAAAGTGCCCAGCATGAAGTAGGCACTGAAAAATTGTCACCAATGGGTGAATAAATGACAGCCACCTCCTCAACCAGTGAAAAATCACCGACAAGAAATTAACTTCCTTCTCTCAACTATCCTGGTGATTCCATTAAAAGCACAGTCCTAATGACGCAGACTTTGAGCAGTTTCCTGCGTGCCTCTCCGGGACCAGGAATGCCCGGCCACAGGACCTTGTATGATGCCTGCCCGGTAGGGGGCGCCCCAAGAATGTCTGGTTGATTTAAAGTGTGAAAGATTAGAGCTGGCCCCCTCCCCCAGAGAATCCTAGAAACTTGGATCCTACAGCTTCCCCGGCGTTTTAGACCAACAGACATTGAGGCCCTGGCCAGCACCCTGCCCTGTGGGCTCTCACAGCCCAGTGAGGTCACACTGACCCATCTTGGTCTTGGGATCCTCAACTCCTTCTGAATCGCTTCTCAGGGAGCTGCCTGCACGCTGCTTCAGCTCCAACGAAGTGTAGTCGTCCAGTTCCCCCTGCTTGATGCTGGCTTTCTTATCTGTGTCACTCCATTCTTCCCAGACCCTGTCAGAGTCAGAGTCAGGACCGGCCTTCTCCTGGTTGTACCAGTGGCCAGTACCGCTGCTTACACTGCTGCTCTCCTGTTCAGAGTCCTCATAAACATGTGTCAGCTGTACGTTCACCTTGGGCTGTGACAGCGTGGCCATGGTCCACAGATTCCGGATGTCACTCTTGGAGCTCGGCTTGACTGAGTCATGATGGCCGGAAGACTTGGCCAATGCCTGTGGACCACATACAACAAGGAAAGGCCAGCACACCTGTCAGAATGGCTATCATCAATAAATAAATAAACAACAAGTGCTGGCGAGGATGTGGAGAGAAGGGAACCCTCATGCACTGTTGGGAATGCAGACTGGTGCAGCCACTGTGGGAAGCATTATGGAGTTACCTCAAAAAATTAAAAAAGTGGAGCTGCCATATGACCCAGCAATTCTACTTCTGGGAATATATCCAAATAAACCCAAAGCACTAATCAGAAAGAATATATGCATTCCTATGTTCACTGCAGCGTTATTTACAATAGCCAAGATTTGGAAGCAGCTTGGGTGTCCAACAGTAGATGAGTGGATAAAAAAGCTGTGGTACAGCCTGACCAGGCGTGGCTCCGCGGTTGAGCATCAACCTAGGATCCAGGAGATCAGGGTTCAATTCCCAGTCAGGGCACATGCCCGGGTTGCAGGCTCGATCCCCAGTCGGGGGCGTGCAGGAGGCAGCTGATTAATGACTCTCTCATCATTGATATTTCAACTCTCTCCCTTCCTCTCTCTGAAATCAATAAAGATATATTTAAAAAAAAAAAAAAGCTGTGGTACATTTACACAATGGAATACTACTCGGCCATAAAAAAGAAGGAAATCTTACCCTTTGCTCCAGCATGGATGGACCTGGAGAGCATTATGCTAAGTGAAATAAGCCAGTCAGAGAAAGGCAAGTATCATACGATTTCACTCATATGTGGAATCTAATAAACAAAATAAACTAACGAACAAAATAGAGACAGATTCAAAGATAGAGAACAGGCTGACAGCTGTCAGAGGGGAGGGGATGTTGCAAGACTGGGTGAAAAAGGTGAAGGCATTAAGCAAAACAACAAAATTCATAGACACCAGCAACAGTATGGTGATTACCGGAGGGAAAGGGGTTGGAGGAAGGTAGAGGAGGGTATTGGGGGGGCGGTGATGGAAGGAGACTTAGTAAAAAGTATATAGAGCCCGGCTGGGCGTGGCTCAGCGGCTGAGCATCCACCAGGAGATCGCAGTTGGATTCCCGGTCAGGGCACATGCCTGGGTTTCGGGCTCCATCCCCAGCAGGGGGCGCGCAGGAGGCAGCCGGTCAATGACTCTCATCAATGATGTTTCTCTCTCTCCCCCTCTCCCTTCCTCTCTCTGAAATCAATAAAGATATATATATTTTTAAAAGTATATAGATTTCAGGTGTACCGATTATGTATTATAGAATTGTACGCCTGAAACCTATATACTTTTATTAACCAATATCACCTCAATAAATTCAATAAAAAAAGAAAAAAACGAGGAAAGCCCAGGACGGCGGGGAGCTGGGGAGGGCAGGGAGAGCAGGCTGGGGCAGGGACTGAGCACTGAGTGGACCGGGTGAGAGGACAGCCAGGGGCCCAGGTTCAGCGAGTCGGGGCTGGCCCGGTGGGGGGCTCAGGGGGAGTTCTTACTTTGAAAGGCTTTTCCTCCATGGTTCTGCCCCAACGGACCCAGTCGCCTCAGGCCTCGCGCGAGGAAGAGGGGGTCGCGCTCCAGGAAGGGGGAGGGGCAGGGTCCCGCCCCGAATGGCGCTGCGGGTCTCGCGCAGGGGAGTCCCAGCTGCAGCCCTCCACGCTCGATAGGATTATTTCTCCGGGTCCCCTCGCCCCCTGGTAGCTGTGCGGGCGTCGGCGACGCACAGCCCATCTNATAGATTTCAGGTGTACCGATTATGTATTATAGAATTGTACGCCTGAAACCTATATACTTTTATTAACCAATATCACCTCAATAAATTCAATAAAAAAAGAAAAAAACGAGGAAAGCCCAGGACGGCGGGGAGCTGGGGAGGGCAGGGAGAGCAGGCTGGGGCAGGGACTGAGCACTGAGTGGACCGGGTGAGAGGACAGCCAGGGGCCCAGGTTCAGCGAGTCGGGGCTGGCCCGGTGGGGGGCTCAGGGGGAGTTCTTACTTTGAAAGGCTTTTCCTCCATGGTTCTGCCCCAACGGACCCAGTCGCCTCAGGCCTCGCGCGAGGAAGAGGGGGTCGCGCTCCAGGAAGGGGGAGGGGCAGGGTCCCGCCCCGAATGGCGCTGCGGGTCTCGCGCAGGGGAGTCCCAGCTGCAGCCCTCCACGCTCGATAGGATTATTTCTCCGGGTCCCCTCGCCCCCTGGTAGCTGTGCGGGCGTCGGCGACGCACAGCCCATCTGGGAGATTCCTCCGCCGGACCCTGCTCCGCGGCCCCCAAGCGGAGGCGCGGGCGGGTCACAGCCAAGGGGGCCGTGCCCCGCCCCAACCGACGCGGGTGCAGAGTGTCACCCGAGGCCTGGCGTGCCAGGAAGCGGCCGGTCCCCAGCCCCCCCCCATGCCCACTCGTGTCCTCGGAGCGCGCACGCCCGCAGCGGTACAGACTTTTTCGTTTATTGATGCAGGCTTTGAGGCACAGTCGTGAGGTGGTGTGAGGGACGGGCCCCGCCGGGACAGCGAGGCAGGAGGCCGGGGGGTCTGGAGATGGGTGGCGTGAGGAGAGGGCCAGGGGCCGGGGTGGCAGGCAAGCAGCCTGGCCTGCTCCCCAGGCCCCAGCCGGGTGGAAAAGGGGCTCTTTGGTCAAACAAGCAAAGCATGCAGGGGAGAGAGCAAGAACCGAGGCCTCTGAGAGGCGGGGGCCGCGGCCCCCTACACGGGCACGGCTTTGTCCCGGGGGCGCCCGGGAGCCCGGGGCCGCGCCGGCTTCCG